GGTAATCGTGGTATACACCATATAGTTCCTCATGCGTCAATACGCTACACGATCGATCCACGGGAATCAGTGCATGGTCACACACCAGATGAGTATCAAGTCCTTCAACAGTCTGTACACTGAATCTCCCATCGCGTTTTAAACATTCCCGTATGGTCTTCTCAGGGTCTATTGTCACCAACAGTCTATGAGACGTTGTTCTTGTCCGTTTAACACGGAGCGGACCGTATCTTCCGTGTCCAACGCATACATCGATGCATACAAAGAATGATCCCGTTCGAGATATGTAATTAGGGTACTTGAGTCCGGGTGCGGTACTGCGTATTACATCGATAACAGGTTGTGCCAGGTGTTGAGAACGTGGTACCCGTGGTAGTAAATGAGTAGGAAAGTTATCCGGTAACCACCACCCGTTCATCTGAAACCGGACGTTGGTCAGGTTCAACGCTCTGAAGAAAAGACACCGATTCATAGCGCCTCTAAGGTCATCTCCGCTCTTAGCGAAGCACGCTATTTTCCGATTATCTAGCCTACCCGGTAGCAGATAGAGGAACGGGGTATCCGATCGTTGAGCCATCGTTGAGCATGTGCGTACGATCACAGAGACCGTTGCATCTGGTGTCTTTACGAGCTATATACCCGCTCGCTTATTACGTATTACCCGTGGGGAGCGGGCAACTTTACAGAGTCTTACGTTCACCCGAGATCGATATAGCGAACAGATACGGTACCATGAGAGCTTTCCATAATGCCTTGGCTGTACATACACGGATGACATCCGCAAACCTACTTAGTTTAAAACGGATTTTAACATTCGTTTAAGTCCAGGTAATCGTATGAACACAGTATAGAGTTCGTTATGTCTTAATACACTACATGGGAGATACACGGAATCAGTGTGTTTCCGGGCGCCTTGAGATGAGTGTAAAGCCCCTCCATTGTCTTATCGCTGAACCTCCCATCACGCTTCAAACAGTTACTTATTGTCATTTCTGGGTCCATTACTACCAGCAATGCGTTTGGCGTACTTCCCGTTCGCTTAACATTGAGTATGCCACGTCCCCAGTAGCCGCAGAACACGTAGATGCGTACAAAGAACGCTTCAGTACCCGGTATGTACTTGAGATACTTGGGGATAGGTACGCAGCTACATATCACTCGGATAACAGGGTGCGAATCATCTTCAGTGCACGGTAGTTTCGATAATAGACTCCCTGGAAAGTTGTCCGGTAACCACGAATAATCTTCCAGCTCGAACCGAACGTTGGTCAGGTTCAACGATCTGAACAAACAACACCGAGTTATTGCGCCTCTAAAGTCATCTCCGCTCTTAGCGATGCTTGCTATCTTCCCATTATCTGACATACCCGGCAGCACATAGAGGAACGGGGTGTCCGATCGTTGAGCCATCGTTGAGCATGTGCGTACGATTACAGAGACCGTTACGTATGGTTTCTTTACGAGCTATATACCCGCTCGCTTATTACGTATTACCCGTGGGGAGTGGGCAACTGCACAGAGGCTTTCGTTTACCCAGTTCACCCGAGATCGATATAGAGAACGGATACGGTTTCTCCAAAACGGGTACTCTCTGAGAGCTTCCCGTAATGCGTTGGATGTACATACAGGGGTGAAGATTGAACCAAGTGACATTGTATCTGGATCACCCATACTTTATTTGTGGGTGTACATACACTGATGGAAATGGACATACGTGACATTGTATTTGAATCAACCATACTTTATTTTTGCATCACACACAAATATGCAACACATAACATTGTATCTGGATCACACACTCTTTATCTTTATCACAGTAGCGGTGTACGTACGGGAACGATATCGAGTACGCATATATAACCAAATGTGTACAAACATACCACCAGTAATTGCAATACACATGACTATAAGCATGTAATGATAATGGTCGCTGGTCAGAGCTGATCCTCTGAACGTTCCTGTGATCTTAAGCGGGATGCTCAGGGATACAGTATATGTTTTCGGGTTTTCACACTTGTAGGAACCTTCATCGTAAGCGGTTACCATGGGTATCACCAGGTTCGGTACAGGATCAGCGTTCAATACCACATCGTCCTTGTAGAAAACACCTGGAACCGGTTCAGGCTCAAGGTATATGGGACCGTAGTAGCAAGTGAGCATGACACTGGATCCTGCTGCAACGGGTGATGATGGGATCTCTATGAGTGTATCTCGATCTGAAACATAATACAGATCACCATGTTACTATGAAACACGACAGTGTCATATGCTTCTATGGTTCCTTCTGCTTTACAAAGTAAAAAACGTAAAAAAGAAAAAGAATTGAGAGACTAAATGGATCAACACAATACCTTTCACGGTCATCTTCACCGCTGCGGTCCTCAATCCGTCTTCAGACTGACACCAGTAGAAGCCAGTGTCAGATGGGTAGAGATCGTTGATTATACACGAGGATCCGACTTGTACTCCCCACCCGGGTTTACACTCCTCATTTACATCATACGAAGTATTCCGTTTCAGGGTCCATTTTCCGTGAGACGCATCGGTTATTATACAAGTGAATGTGACATTCTCATAGCGAAAGAAATGTAACCTGTCCGGGTACAGACGTATTCCTAGGATTAAAACCAACAACAAATATAAGGAGTTATACGATGAACATCCGACAATATGTAACACACAGAATGGTACAGACGTATTCCTAGGATTAAAAACCAACAACAAATATAAGGAGTTATACGATGAACATCCGACAATATGTAACACACAGAATAACATACAAACATCGTGCACCTGCGGGTGTGAAGGGGTTCTTATCCGATGTGAAAGTGTGTACACCCATAAGATGTACGAGTAGCACAAGAGAAAGCAATGTGTTCATTGTGATACAGTGGGTACATCTGACTCGCGAATGCTTAGGTGTCAGCTGTGCATATATAGCCATGCGGGGCACCAGAGTCACTCCCACACAGATGATTTAAGGAAAGTACAGCCTTTATAGCGCATTGCGAGCAAACTCTAGTTACAGCGTACGCGCGCTCCGTGGGTTATCACAAAGATCTCTTAGCCTTATTAATGTTACATAAACGTATGCGGATAGTGGATAGATACAACACTCGAGTCAGCCCCAGGATGATGTCCGAGGACGGTTACTGGTGGTTCCATGGGAAATATGACTGGTTGATGATCGCTGTACCCATAATGGCCGTGTTCGGGTTGTTGATAGTATCGTATAGACTCTGTAGCGTACGCGCGTCGCGTATTTACAAACCCTGTGCCCATCTGGTCTACCCGTCCTTATACCAACCCGTATACGGACCCACTACCTGTGATAGTAAAGACTGTCTTGCCAGGAAAGGTTTAAAGATAAACGACACCTGTGTCCAAGTTACAAAAAACGAAGGATCGGATGATACGAGCGCAGAACGAAACGGTACACGATTCCGCTACTCGCGTATAATAACAGCTTCCCGCACTTGCGGTATGTGTACATGTCATTAAATAAACCTTTCTGTACTTCACAGGCTCTGGTGCAGCAGTTGAATGAATCCCCGCGAGAGGCCCTCGGTTCGAGCGCATATGATGGTCTGGTGCAGCGGTTGAATGAATCCCACAAGAAGCCCTGAGTTCGAGCGCATAGGCATCTCTGCAAGTTCATAGCTACCGATCATCACTGTAATGTTTGCAATGTTCATTCAGAATGATACACAGGAGACCGTATCATGTGCATATGTATACTTTTAATTGAGTGTGATAATACAATCTGAAGGGGTTCTGTACATGTCAGAAATAAAATGTCAAACATTTTCAATACATGTGTATGCTTGCGTGAGTCTCCAAGTCTACATACACCATATGAGATTATCACACAACTCAGACATGGTCCTTGGTTATACTATCAAAGGTTTATTCAAAGGTTTATTCAAAGCTTGACAGTGTATTGGGGTGACCATAATCGCATAATCACTTAATAATCACACCATGCACATCGAAGCCCCCTTCCCGTATGTGTGAATGCACGCTGTTAAGATATCAAGGGCCCGTTTGGCAGCATCGGTCTTCGCGCACTTGTTGGAGGATCCTGTACCTAAAACACACAACGGTTCCGTTAGCATAGAACACACATAGTTCTACTGAATGTGAGACAAACACATAGTGCGTACATACCATATACAGTGAAGGTCCATAGCTTTGACCTGATGTGACAAATCAGAATATGTGCTTCATTCTGACTTCGGTCGCTATACTCGGGTAAAGGCCAACCGTTCTTCTGACAGAGTTCCTATAAAACAACTTGCGTAAATACACATATATACTATACACACACACACACACACACACACACACACACACACACACACCTCAAAAGAGGGCATATTCACCTGAAGCTCTCCCATAACATTTTCACGAAACACGGGCCGATCCTCCGGTTCTACATTCAGCTCCAGAGTATTCATCAGCTCTCGCGCAGCATTGTTTTTCGCATGCTTCTTGGACACCCCCGTGCCTGTAGATACGCAGAACAGACCCTCGTTCTGTATAGCTACATCGATCGTGAAGAGGGGATTGTGAGCCGGTCCTTGCGAACGTACATTATCATACCGTACAATGTAGTTATTGGCATCAGCGTACTCCTTCAATTTAGCACAGTACGCCATTACACTAGCGTGTTGCAGTGTCTCCGTGTTGCAACCTCTAAGTCAAAGTGCGTCTAAGTCTTGTTACAAGTAATCGGTGTTTAAATATCTTGAGGGGTGTGTCGGTAACGTATGTGTCATAAAGTATTATTCCTTTCGTTTACTAGAATGGAAAGCTTAACCCCCGGCTTCCGAACGTGGATATGCGTGACATTGTACACACCGAGCGGTTTTTCGATCGTAGCAGGACACCTTTAAGCGCACCATATTGGCTCGCAATTGTATAAGAAAACACACACTGAGATTCTCCGTGGTACGATTTATTAAATCAACCATTTCACAGAAATCAACCATTTCATAGAAACCAAACATTATACATACAGCGGGTGGGATACGAGTTCAACTATACAGACATGGTCAAACAGCTACAGCCGTTGAGAGGTCTATCCGATCCGGTGTCATCTGTGACTGAACCGTGTACCTTTACGACTCCGCCACTGACAGCAACAGAGACAGTATTCATAGACACATTTCTGGATGCGTTGGTTCCACTCATACATCTAAGAAATGAACATTTTGTGTACACGATAATCAGCACTGCTCCCATTGCGATCAGTCCAATAGAGACAAATACTCCAGCGATGACAAGTCCGTGTATTACAAATCCTCGTTTCCCATGCACAGGATATAGTTCACGGTCCCATTGCTTCTCAACATGTAACCCAGATGCACGCTGAATGACTTCACAGGTGTAGATATCCGTGTCACTACTTAAGAGTTCCACATAGTCTCTTCGCTGAAAAGTGTCATCGTCATTTGGTCGCACGCCGAAGGTTAACACTCCGTCTTCCTTATACAAAACGCGCCCGTTTTTCTTAATGTTCAGGGTGATGTCTTTTGAGTAGAGACCTGTGACCAGGCACGTTAACGTGATCCTGGTCTCGTCTATACTCTTTGGGAATACAAACACGTCAGGCGGAGACGCTGTCTCTAGCTGCTTTTGGTTATACTTGACAAAAATATTCAACCAATCCATACACTCTTTCATCAGGTAGCCTTTGGTGTATTCGTTCAGTGTGTTGACCCCGTCCCACTTCCTCTTAGTAGGCTGGGCCGCTTCGATCCCCGAGACCCAGACCTCTTGTGTGCAATCGAATGCTATGAAATCATAGCCATCGTAGCTATACGTGTCTACCGCACTCCGGAATGTCAGGGTTCCATTAGCCTCTTTCTCACCCACACATCCGTGCATCCATTGAAGAACATGTACGTTGGAGTCATTAACTCGCGTTCGTTGCATCAGGATCTCTATGTTCACTTTGAACCACTGTTGTTTGCTCACACGGGACTGTGTTCCTCTTATCCAGTAGCTTGGATCTAATTTATCTTTCATCCAGTTCTGTTTTGGAACCTTCTGATTGTGTTCACTGTCATAATAGTCGATCAGCATTCCGTCCAGTTGACCCATAGCTGTGAACTCGTGGATACTCGGGAGTCCGCTGGGTTTGGAGAGACCCGTGTATATGTAATAAAGGGAATGTCTCTCACTGTTTACTATCAATCCGGTCCATAACAGGATCACAGCCACGAAGAGAAACATTTCGTCTCAATGCAATTACTCTACGCAGCAGACTGGGGTCTCTAATCTATATGAGCCAAGGGTTAATCACTCTTCTTGCTAAGTGCAGCGCTGATCCTTTACGTGTAATCCTTCAAAGGCCTCTAGCTTTTATACAAGAGCTCGCCTGTTTGTCTCTTTGGGTACAAGGTTGTTATGAAATAATGAAGGACTCGAGCTTCAGAAAACGTGACTACGAATGTGTAAAACCCATGGCTTCTGTAACAGTGATTAGCAGGGAAACGCAGAGCCCTGCTGTAACTCTGGTTCACCGATCTCGGGGTTTTCAGTACGTGTCAGGGAAAACGCAGAGCCCTGCTGTAACTCTGGTTCACCGATCTCGGGGTTTTCAGTACGTGTCAGGGAAAACGCAGAGCCCTGCTGTAACTCTGGTTCACCGATCTCGGGGTTTTCAGTACGTGTCAGGGAAAACGCAGAGCCCTGCTGTAACTCTGGTTCACCGATCTCGGGGTTTTCAGTACGTGTCAGGGAAAACGCAGAGCCCTGCTGTAACTCTGGTTCACCGATCTCGGGGTTTTCAGTACGTGTCAGGGAAAAACGCAGAGCCCTGCTGTACACTTGAATGAAGGGGAGTGTAAGATGTGTCAGGTCAGCATATGTACATGTTCATTTGCCAGAGAGCTCTGAATGTGACCTACTTCTTATAATCTATATGGAACACAGGTTAATTACTCAGTCTCGGAATAAGACGGGTAATCCTTCAATTTAATCTAAAGGGCTGCATTTCGTTATTACCTGCTACTCAAAGCCTCAAGTGTGCACATATATAAACGCGTCCTTGTGTTTCAGTGTCCAGTGTATGCAGGCTTGGTGTGAACGTTTAGTGGACTCCGTATACGGGAGAATATACAATATTGTGTAAAGACTGTGTAGAGGGAATGACCTTCGTGACAGTGATCGTTAGATGGAATCAAACACCGAAAAAGACGAATTTCGGATTGCACGCAAAACGATGGTATATTGGACATTGGAATCAACGTAATCTGTATCTGACCCATGCCTCGATACAGGTTTCGCAGGACAGTAACGGTGATGAGGTTGAACATTTCCTAAACACCGCAAAAGGTGTTCTCGCGGATAGTGTTATGGAACGGGAATCCTTTGACGTATTGTTGCGGGACCACACACTCTGGCTCCCTATGAGTAAATATAGTATCACGTATACTGACATGTCACATAGATCAAGTTTCGTACAACACATTTTGGATATACATAACCTACTCGAAAACAACGGGTGGACAACTTGTGACCCACCGAGGAATTCAGTCAGTGTGACTGCGGTTAAACTCTCCTGTGAACACGTGAGTTATCTACGAGATACTGTGCAAGTCAATATCCCATGTTCTGCCAGTCAATGATCTAGGTGTATGTTTCTGCATTCTTTACAGACCCCCCACGATGTTACCGTGATAGTACCTATGGTGGGATCTAAGGATAAACTGATCAAGATACGATGTGAAGAGTCTCAATCGCTTTACGAACTTTTACAGAGATACAACGTGACCTGTTTCGAACTGTGGAACAGTCATGTATCTCTGTCGAGTAAAGCTCCGTGTACTGCACTGCTAGACTACAATATCACACTTGTATACGCGACACTCTCAGTTCCCGAAGAAATGCGTGCAGGGCCACCGCCACTGTATCATAAAATGAAGCGTATTAAGGTAAAGGCCCGAGAGAGCGCGATGAAATCTCGGTATGTCGGGAGCACTTTGCGCAGGGCCCGGGACATGGGAGAGGGTGAGATTTCTGTAGTTTTATACTATAGTGATCCACGTGTCACAGTCGCAGACCTAATCCGCGGAGACGGGAGGTTTAGCGCACAGGCGCGTGTGTCGCCAGACATGGGCGATACTCCTGTGGTGGACGTTGGACCCGAGAACGATTTCGTCATTACCGGTAACGTACCCATCCTTGTATTATATACATGTATTGTGTGTTAACACAATCTAATTCCCGTGTTATGTACAAAGGTCAAGTGTTCGGTATTTAGATCCGGTGCACGTATCTTGTACATTTCTCCGGTGTACGTTGCCCAGAATGTACGAAGGTGAGCATTACACTTTCAAAGATTTATTTCTGACATGCTTGTGTGTAAAGTGTATTAACTACCCGTGATGCTATAGCGTTATGATTGTGATTGTCCAACCCTGTATGATGTGAAAGTTAGCCTGTCTGTGTATGTAATAAACAGAGACATGTGTACATTCAGATGTTCGACTCCTCTTTATTATACACAAAAACATGGTATGTATGAACCGTGTGTACATTCAGATGTGTGTCCCCTCTTTATTATACACAACTCATGGTATGTATGACTGACTCTCAGTTATTTATTAGATACACTATTATTGGACACAAAAGAAAGCAGGGGATTCAGTTATTAGACACAAACCCATCCGGGTGTCCAAATGAGAGAGACTCTTAAGCATGCTGCTGTCTATCGGCTAACACGATACTAGCTGTATCAATAACCGGTATAGCGGTATCCCGCTTTTCTATCTGTGCGAATGGGAGCGTTTCAGGTTTTACACGTAATACCATGGAAATGTTACAGGTGTACCTATCATTATCGTGTAACACAGCCAGTATATAGTATTGCTCGTCCGTGTTTATAAGTACATATAATCGATTTGTCATATATTCAACTCCGTAAAGTTCACCTTTACGGTGTCCCATCGTGTATACATATAGTGCACAGCGAAAGGTGCGTGTCATGCTCGTGAGATTAGCGCTGGTACATTCCTTAATCCCGTTACAAGTGCACTTGTTGTCCTCCACATCAACCTGTAGGACCCCTCGTAACTGTTCCAGAGGGTTCGGGTTCGCAAGTTTGATTAATTTAACGTCCTTTGTACAATCAAATGCGCTCCCTATGCATACAGGAATGCTCAGTGTTTCAGGCTTCACTGTGAAAAGATCACAAATGTTATTATCATGCCTATGAGCCTCGATATCCTCGGGTGTCCTATCCACAGTACATAGCCCGATTGACCCGGTTGCACAAGTACCGTGTTCACCAGCATCCGACTCGTATTTCGGATTGACATTTTCCTGTGTCACGGAATCGGTCGGGGGCTCGTTAGGTGTCCTATCCACAGTACATAGCCCGATTGACCCGGTTGCACAAGTACCGTGTTCACCAGCATCCGACTCGTATTTCGGATTGACATTTTCCTGTGTCACGGAATCGGTCGGGGGCTCGTTGGGCTCTATTTTTAACGAGCCATCAGAACTAACGCGAGCTTTCCGGTACTTTGGATGAGCTGTAGCTATATGTCGTTTTCTATTTGTGGATGTTTCCATAGGTCGATCTTCCATAGCCTCTAAGGTGTTATATATTTCGTGTTCATACAGTGTAAACACCTGTCCTACCCGATCCATGGTATCCATCGTGTGAACACGCTCTACTTTCGACAAGGAAGTTGCGAGAGTACATGTATTTCTGATCAACGAACTGAGTCTCTCGATGGATAGATCTAAAGCTCCATACACACCAGTAGCCACTTGGGTGAACGAAGCATTTTCTAGCCCAAATAACTCTTCCATCACGCGCATAAACCCCTTGTTAGATTGTGACAGTTCGCAATTGAGCCGATTTAACTCCGTTACGGTGTGATCGTATTGTGATATCTGAGACTGTAACTCTACCAACTCACCCGTTTGCTTGGACACGCAGCTCTCATACTCAGTCAATTTAATTTGCGCTTTACCCATACGGTCACGAACGTCCTCATATTCGCCTATTACGGACTCGTGTTCGCGTGTGATCTGTTCGAGCTGGGATTGCAATGTACAAACCTGATTATCACGTTCCTTTCGATACGTATCACCCACATCGGTTAGATGTCTCAGTTCACTCTGATAACGTTCGTTCTCTTTCGCTAAGACCGCGTTCCGCTCGTGTACCGATTGTAATTCGGTCCGATAACTTTTGTTTGCGTCCGCTAGATCCGCGTGAAGTTCCTGATAATGCTTGTTTGTGGTCACTAACTCCGCGTTGATCCTTTTTAGGGACTGTATGTCTGTATTGTAACGATTAGTACTTTCTATCAACTCATCCTTGAACGCGGTTAGAGACTGAATCTTATTCATTGTGTCTGTTTCAGACACAGTCTTTTCGTGTGATAACGTATCGATACGCGCTTCGAGTTCCGTGTTGTGTTGAGTCAGACGATCATTCCGTTTTGTAAGATCCTCGAGTTCACTCCTTAGCTTAGTAAGGAGATCACTGTTCGTCTTGTGTTCAGCCTCGAGAGCGTTGTAATGTGTCTCAGATGTGTTATTCCTCTCTTGTAAACCTCGTATGAGATTATTAAGGTCCGTGTTTGCCTTGGTTAAAGACTCGCAATCGCCTCGTAGAGAGTCTTGTGAACTAGTAATCTGTCTCACACGGTCCTCATTTTCCGTTTTCGCTAGCTCGTACTCAGCGCACCTTGCGCGAAGGACGTTCTTCTCGTTCATGAGAGACTTCACGAGCTCTTGTATAAAGTCGACCTGAGCACTGTATGACCGAACGATATCGTCAATGGTATCTACGGAATAGTTCGCGTTCTGTGCTTCAGCGGTGATCCTCCCTGTAAAGTCATCCGAAGACCGCATCTCTATTATATAGCCTTGGACTCTATGTATGATACATATAACATCTTTCATGACTCGATCTCCTCGCATAATATCATGTGCGCTGTGCATAAAGGTGCACGCGTTAAACACAGCTTTCAGTGAGTTCCCAAGTCCACGGATCACTACGTTGTAACATCCCCACAGTTCCATTGCTAGCTCGAACCCTATCACTGATCGAGCCTTCGTAGTTGAAAAAGTCTGAAACCACTCGACTATCGTTTTGTAATTATCCTCCAATGCAGTGATAGTCAACAACCAGCGGTCCAACGGTACGCACTCTGTAGAATCACTGCGGGTAAGCGAGGATTCCTCCTTGGTATCCGAAGGGAAGAGTTTTGATATGAT